CAAATCTCAGGCTTTTCTTTAAAATATATTAGGATTAACATTGGCTGTTGTCTTCCAGGAGCCGATGTTTTAAGTAAGTCTGAAACCAGTATTGTAACATGTGTCTCAGTCACATTTACATCACTCAATTTAATTAAAGATAGTGTTTGTATCCTTTGCCCAGCGCTGAGTGCAATCAACATAGCACATTTTTTGGTAAGTTTATCTAAGGCAAGTGATTCAAGTGGATACAATTTTTGCAAAAAAATTTAGGACTATTGAAGGGTCCCATGTCACACTATATTTTGGAGTTTGTGGTCTAAGCCTACATACTCCTTTAAACCACCTTTTTTATTGTTTCATCTGTTCCCAGATGTGATCCTATTATTAAGTATAGAGTTGATCTATGGCAATTAAGGGTCTGATAACTACACCCTTTATTATATAACTCTGTTAAGTATGTTATTATATATGGCACTGATGCCCTATAGATATCATGATTGTTTTGCATACAATAATACCACCACTGTTTTAAAAATGTATTATACTGTTTTAATGTATTTGAGGACAGAGATGCTAACATGTGCATGTAGTGGGTGAGGTGTCATGAAAGGAGAAGATAAGAGTTCTAATGAAGGTGGAAAGTAAATTACTTCGGAGTCTATCATTGATTTCATCATAGGATACCAGGGCTGAGCAGTCCAAACAGGGAAAATAATGATGCCCCTTGCCTTTTCATTCTTAATTTTTTGAATTGTTTTTAAAAGAACTGAGAATGGTGGAAATGCATAAAAGTAGAAATCAGACCATCTTAATGTAAATGCATCTATATTCCAGGCTTCTGGATCTCTTTGCCATGACACATATTTAATGCATTTTGTATTAATCCTAGATGCAAAAAGGTCAATGTCTGGCTGGCCAAACATTGTAACCACCCTGTTAAAACTATCATCTGATAGTTCCCATTCAGCATCTATATTCCTATTTCGAGACTCAAAATCTGCTTTTTTTATTGCTTTTGATTTAATGTAAGAGGCAAAAACCCATATCATTCTCTTCTCACAAAATTGCCATAATAATCGAGATAAGTTGTTAATCTTAGGATATTGAACTCCCCCATACGATTAATATATGAAATTGCAGTTGTATTATCAACTCTCAATAATACGGCACGGAAACTTGGCCACTCGTGAATTTGCTGATTATTTGCACTGAAACGTTTTTTTAACAGTAAATTAAGGGTAGATGCATTCAATAAGTGTCTCTAATGGTTTTAGAACATAGAAATTTAATGTTTACTTCACCGAAATTTTTCTTTTCAAGATAACATGTTTTCACTAAAATTAACATCTTTCCATTGTCACTTTAAAAAACACTACAAAGTTAAAAATTAAGTCTGTTTCTTTATTGTATATCAGTTTTAATATCGGGTGTTTCCTCCTCTAGCCCTGATAACCGCTTGCATTCGATCTGGCATGCTTTGAATGATGTTTCTGACATCAACTTGCGGTATGCTGTCCCAACCGGCCAGCGCTGCATTTCGGAGCTCATTTAGAGTTTGTGGCGGTTTGGAGCTGGACTTTATCTTTCTTTTGAGCATACCCCATACATGCTCAATTGGATTTAAGTCCGGGCTACGAGCTGGCCACTGTAATTTTTGTATTCCAACCTCTTCCAGATATTCCTCTACACAATGTGCGACGTGCGGGCGTGCATTATCGTGCATGAGGAGGAATTGGTCGTGTCCAATGAATCCCGAATAAGGCATTACGTGCTCCTGAAGAACTTCCTCGATGTATCGAGTAGCTGTAAGCCGATTATCGACGATGACCAACTCTGTACGTGCGTCGGAACTTACACCTCCCCATACCATTATTGAGCCTCCATGGAAACTCACAGTTTGGGTGGTGGTAATAGGTAGAAACCTCTCTCCTCTTTTTCTCCACACTCGTTCTCGACCGTCTGGAGCACGTAAAGCTATTCGACACTCATCTGTGAACAACACTCTAGCCCATTGCTCGTGGGTCCAATTGACATGTTCTCTTGCGAACTGAAGTCGGGCTACTCGGTGCTGTCTGAGAAGTTCTGGACCTCGTGCTGGTCTACGAGCTTTTAAATTCACTTCCTCCATTCGTCTTCTCACCGTACGCTCACTAACATTAACGCCTCTTGCGATTTGGAGCCGCTGGCGTATCTCAACAGCGGTCAGGTAGCGGTTTCTCAAAATCTCCATAACAATAAAACGATCGTCCCGGGCCGATGTGCACCTTACGCCCCCACTGCCTGGCCTGCGGGTGTAGCGGCCTGTCTCCTGGTATCGTTTCAGTGAATACTGCATTGAGGACCGTGGTACGTTAAGCACAATAGCAACTTCACGCTGTGTCAGCCCTTGGTCAATTAATGCTACTGCTTGTGCAACTTGTGCTGGTGTTAATGGCATTTTTATTGGCTTTAAAGCACCTTTAGTTATTTAATTAAGACACAAGATCACAATACTTGAATAACCTTACAGTAAACTTTTCACAACACACAAATTTAAAATGTGAACTTAGTCGCTCAAATGACACGATTCAACTAAAAATTAAAGAATTCGTCATGATGCACTTAAACATAATGAATTACCCTCTTGAACTTGAGGGTAAACATTTTTTGACATACTTGCATAACAAACATTCATCAGAAACACTTAAAGCTTTTGCTATCGCGAGATAACCGCTTGGCCAAGTTTCCGTGCCGGTGAGTGTATTTCACAATTTTTTAAGTCTTTTGCAAAACATTTTAAACCAAAGTATGCTTAATGATTTCTTAAATTTACGCGAACACTACACATTGAATAAAACTATTATTTACGGATTTTATCGCGTTTAATTACTTTAATTTATTTTTATTATTATCCCGACGTTTCGGGTGCTTTACAGCGCCCATGGTCACGGGGGGACTGAGATGTTTGACGTCCCAATGTCATAGTTAGTCCGGCTACCTTACATAGGTACCTGTCATAGTTAGTCCGGCTACCTTACATAGGTAGCCGGACTAACTATGACATTGGGACGTCAAACATCTCAGTCCCCCCGTCACCATGGGCGCTGTAAAGCACCCGAAACGTCGGGATAATAATAAAAATAAATTAAAGTAATTAAACGCGATAAAATCCGTAAATAATAGTTTTATCCAAAGTATGCTGCTAAGAGTTCTAAATAATTTATATGATTTTGTTTATCTTGAATGGACCAAAAACCTCGTGCCACTTTACCATCACAGTGTACTCCCCAACCCGTACTAGAAGCGTCTGACCAAATTTCTAATATAAACTGATACTGTTTTATTGGATTATATGCGGTATTAATCTTATTTTGCCACCATGATAAATCTAACTTCACATTTTTATTTATTTTCATTTGTTTTTCATAGTCTCCATTTGATCTCTGTAAAGCTATGTATTTCTCCCTCTCAAATATTTTTGTGTATACAAATCCATATGATACTGCCATACATATAGATACAAAACTACCTACCAAGGCAGCAAATTCTCTAATAGAACAGTACTTTAATTTAAGAAATTTATGTATTGCAGATAATAAAGATTTCTTTTTATTTTCTGTGGGTTTTATTATCATTTTTTGTGTATTTATGACAAAACCTAAATATTCTCTTTCTTGTGATGGAAATAAATTACTCTTTTTCATATTAATTATAAAACCTAAACACTGGAGTAAATTTACAGTTTTATGAACATTGTCTAGGCACTCTGCATAAGAGAGTCCTATGCAATTAAGATCATCTAAATAGGCAACATTTATGAGGCCTTGACTTCTGAGATGTTCTACTACTGGTTTTAATAATTTTGTAAGAGTATATGGTGCAGTAGACAATCCAAATGGTAAACAATTGAACTCATACAGAATTCCTTTATATTTAAAATGTAAAAATTTTCTGAAATCATCATGAATATTAATTAAATAGTATGCATTTTGTATATCTAATGTACACATATAACTGTCCTTAGTCACTAATTTGCATAAGGTACGAATATCTTCTAATTTGAAGTGTGGAGGATTTATGAATTTATTTAGGGGCTTAAGATTTAAAATAAATCTATGTGATTTATCAGGCTTTGGAATACAAAAAATATTCAATAAATATTGACCTTTTACAGGAGTACACTGTGAAATAGCATGTAATTTCATTAACTTTTTAATTTCTATAGATATAATCCTATCTTCTAAACTTGACAACTTATCATTCAGTGGTAAGCAATTTTGTATCCATGATAAAATAGTGTTATGATTTGTAAGCTTATTCCAACAGTTATAAAAATGTTTAATTCGACCAGCAAAATGTGTTACCTCTATGGGTATTTGGCACGTTGTTGTCTGTAATTCTTTTGTTTGTGGGGCTGGCTGCAAGTCACTGCCGGTGCTTGGACCTTGGTTGCCGGCCGTTGAAAATTTTGATTTCCCCTGAACATCTTCCTCTGGGTCCTTTGATGTTGAGGGGGATAGTAGTTTTTTGTAGTAGAATTTTGCCTTGGCTTAAAAGGTTTTGGAATAGATTTCTTTAGAAGATTTGAAGCAGATTTTTGTAAAATTGTTGCACTCTTTACACATTCACTCAATTTTTCTCCAAATAAGAATTTATCCCGTCTGAGATCCGCAAGAGTCTTAGATATTGTTTTATCTAAGTGAGGTATTAACAAATTTTTTCTTATTACCGTATCTTCTGAATGGAGATGGGCTAGAATCCTGGCCGCCTCTGTCATGTTTTTTATGATATGTAATTTATTAAAATTTTGTTTGGTTAAATTATCAACACATTTTAATATTGTGCCTGTGGCTAATCCTAATAAATTTTGGCGGTTCTCAATTTTTTATCTCTTGTTTTCTGACTCCTGTATCAAGTGTAATTCAGGATTCAGTAGTGGTGCCTCTAACAAAATGGTATTTTCTGGTATTAATTGTTCTTTTTTATATATTTCAATTTTTTCTTTAGTCAAGCCTTCCATCAAAATACCTTCGACCCTTTTATAAATGTATTGGTTGACCATATGAAGATTCAGTACTAATCGGAGGACCCATGGCTTCTATAATATCCTCTTCTAAATGTTCTTCTTTAACTTCCATAATTTCTACCTCCTCCTCCTCCTCTGGTTCGATATTTTCCAGAATAATCTCCTCTTCTGATTCAATACTTTCCACTGAAATTTTATAATTATAGTAGTATTGTATTATACACATTTTCTTATTTATGCCTTCATTTCTCTCCCCCCTTTGTTTACAGATGTAATGCCCATAAATTAATGATATTCGATTGCTATAGTACCAATATAATTTTTAAGGTTTAATAGTGACACTCACTATCAGAGGCCTCCATATTAAATGGTATGGCATGACTATTATCCCCACGGGATAAGTCAAAAGTGACACTCGCTTTTACGAGTTTGTGACATATGTATCCAGGCATATTATGACTGGTCGACTAATCCCCACGGGAAAGTCGTGACTATGCACCACGGGATAGTCTCAATAGTTTATACACATAAAATTTTGGATGGTAAAATTGAGGATAAGTAAACCTCATTTTAAACTTTTTAGAAAACATTGGCGGTCTACATGCTAATTTTAATGATCTTTTAAAACTTTTTGTTTTATTTTAATGAATAATCCATAAAGTTCCGCATAATGCAATTGATTAATTATAATAAATTAAGTCATGATAAAAACAGACTTACCAATATCGCCAACATCATTTTCGTTTCTATTCTCTTTTGAATGTTCGTCTTTACGTCTTTTACAACGTTCATATTTTTTCTTATATTTGTTCAACTTCCTTTCTAAACGTTCTTCTTTTTGACTCCCTTCGTCTTTTAGGCATTTTAAACCAACGTAACCAGAATAAATTGCACAAAAACTTTCGAGATTTAGTGCACAAATGCAAATGGATGATTGTTCATCAAACGCGGTAAAACGAATGACATTCGAGAAGCGTTAGGTTGCGTTCGTGTTGCAACTTTTTTGTTTTAGATCTACTCTAAAAGGACGCGTTCATCGAGCAAGGTGTAGACGATACTACCAAGTTATCTCGGACTAAGCTTGCATATAATAGATATAGGTGTGGCGGCTGCGTCCGCCACGCTGAGTCGCAAATATATCACCGTTTACTCGACACGTGTCTTCATTTATTGCAACTTTCATTGTACACCTTAATGGACTTAAGTAAATTAATTAATTAAATACAGTACCCATAAAACTGTACACTGGTACCCCTGAAGAACCGTTTGTGAATTAGTGTCGGTAAAATATGTATCTGCAATTCGGACCTGCGCCAGTTCCTGCAGCGCCTATCGCGCCCGCGCCGGTACCACCGCCCACCCAGGGTGAGCAGGCGTCGACGGAGACCCGCGCAGATGGCGCCGTGGCGCTGGCGAGTATCAGCGTTACGTCTAGAATACCCGACATCGGACGGACCAACCGCGACTCTGGTTCGTTCAGTTCGAGGCCGTAATAGAAAAGTTTTAAAAACCAGAAAATCAGGAATGCGGCCAAGCAAAATCTGGTTGTAACTAAATGAAGCAAGAGCGCTATACAGCAGGTAAGTGATCTACTGCTATCGCCGCCATCCGAAAGGAGGTATCAGACGTTAAAGGATCGGCTTCTGCAAGTGTTCGAAGAGTCGGAGACCAGACAATTTCAGAAACTACTGGGGGAGATGGAGCTCGGCACTCAAAAGCCATCGCAGCTCTTACGTAGGATGCGAGACCACGCGAGGAATAAAACGCCAGACGCTACACTCCAGATTATGTGGACCAGACATTTACCCACAGCCGTTCAAGCTGTTCCAGCTGTCACCGAAGCGAAGGACCTGAAAAGCCTGGCGACGGTGGCGGATAAGGTGATGGAAGTGACCAGGCCGCCAGAAATTGCCGAAGTCAGCAGCGTTACATCCAGCAAGCTCGGCGATTTATAGGATATAGTGAGTAAACTATATTATATATATACAGATCGATAGCAGAACTACTTCGGTCAAGGTCGGTCAACGCAACAATAACTCAGGTAACAGGGGGAGAACGGGGCGATCAGGTTCGCAGCAACGCAGCGCCTGTATGTTCCGTAAGAACCCGAAATAGTTGTGCTTTTACCATCATCGTTATGGTTCCAAGGCCGTGAAGTGCGTTGATCCTTGCAATTGGGCTAGGGCGAAGCCATCTACGCCGTCCGCACAGGGAAACTAAGTACGATTCAGCCAGGGGCGGAGGCATGTATCGGTTTGTAAAATAACCGCCTATGCGTTTTGGACAAAAATACCGAACTTAAGTTTTTAATTGATACGGGTGCCAACATATCTCTAATTCCGGTGGTAAAAAAGTGTGCGTCATTCCCTACCGCGAGTGATAATTATAAATTATATGCGGCGAATGGAACGGAAATTAGAACCTATGGTTTGCGTAGTCTAGTTTAAAATTTAAATTTAAGGGGAGCATTTAGATGGTCTTTTATTATAGCGGACGTTAAACAGCCTATAATCGGTGCCGACTTTCTAAGCCATTATAAACTGTTGGTAGATTTACACGCGCGGAAATTAAGAGATCAAGTTACGCATATAAATGTTCTCGCTTCAATTGTAGCGTACAGTAGTAACGATGACTCGTCTATTAGAACTATAGATAGTAAAAATTAATGGCACGATATATTACTTAAGTACCCGGATTTGACTAAACCTGTGTCGTATAAGGAGACTCCTAAGCATTCCGTATGTCATTACATAGAGACGACAGGCCCACCTGTCCATGCGAAGGCTAGGCCTCTACCTCCGGACAGGTACAAGCGGGTTAAGGAAGATTTCAAGCTCATGTTAGATCTAGGAATATGTAGACCTTCTAAAAGTGCATGGACAAGCCCTTTACACGTTGTCCTTAAAAAAACGGGGACATTCGTCCGTGTGGTGACTACCGTAGGTTGAATGCAATAACTAAGCCCGACCGCTATCCTATACCAAGGCTGCAAGATTTTAAGTACGTGTTAGCCGGTAATAAAAAGATATTTACCCGATTAGATTTGAAACGGGCGTATCATTTCATTCCAGTGCTAGAATCGGATATTGAGTAGACTGCCATAATTACACCATTTGGATTGTTTGAGTTTCCACGCATGATCTTTGGTTTGTGAAACGGAGCCCAAACGTTCCAGAGATTTATGGATTCGGTAGTCCTCAAAGGTCTTGATTTTTATTCATTTACCTCGATGACGTCATAGCAGCAGATAAAGGAAAAAAGAGAACACTTTTAAAAAAAAAAGAACAAAAAAAAACGCCGCTACGCTTCATTATTCTTCACCCGACGCGGACTTAGCGTTGATGACCGACGATTCAAACACTAGTATCGATGCAGTATTACAACAAAAAGTAAATAATATTTGGCAACCACTTGGTTTTCTCTCAAAAGAGTTGTCTGAGTCTGAAAATAAATACTCAACTTATTATAGGGAATTGTTAGCAGTGTATATGGCCGTCAGACATTTTAAAAATTTATTGGAAGGTCGCATTCTAACAATTTTTACGGATCATAGACCGCTAGTGTATGCATTCCATAAAGTCGGTAACAATAAGGAAAGTCCGAGGAGAGTCCGTTATATCTCGTACATAAGTGAATTTACCACTGATATTCGCTATATTAGCGGAACACAAAATGTAGTGGCTGACCCTTTATCGCGCATAGAGACAATAAATTGCCCAACAATATTAGATTACACGGATATCGCATACAACAAGCTAGTGACGAATACCTACAACAAGCATTAAAAGTGTCGGATAATAACTTGCAGTTTAAGCAGTGTCATTTTCCCGGCTGTGAGAAACCTGTGTATTGCGAAATCTCATCGAGTAATATTAGACCTTATTTACTGAAACAATACAGGCAATCAGCATTTCATTCCGTGCATAACCTCAGTCATCCTGGCATTAAAACAACCAAAAACTTAATGAAAAAGAGGTTCTTTTGGCCAGATATGGATCGCGATATAGCAAAGTGGGCACGGACATGTCTTAATTGCCAAAAAGTTAAAATTATAAGGCACACTGTATCGGGTGTAGGACAGTTTGATCGACCCGATCGTTTTCAGCATTTACACACAGATATACCTATTTCGGCAGACGGTCATAGATATTGTGTAACAATGATAGACCGGTGTACCGGATGGCCCGAAGCTTTTCCGGTACAGAACATTACAGCGGATACTGTAGCGAGAATAGTGTTTGAAGGTTGGATCTCTCGTTTCGGATGCCCTTCGAAGCTGACCAGCGACCAGGGTAGACAGTTTGAGAGTGACCTCTTTCACCAATTAATGAAATACTTAGGGATTCATAAATTGCGCACCACGCCTTGTCATCCACAGAGTAACGGCATGGTTGGGCGTTGGCATAGAGCACTAAAAGTGGCTTTAATGGCACGCTTAAAATGCAACAGTTCTTGGGTAGATGAATTACCAGTAGCGCTGTTAGGTCTACGCGTCGCTACTAGAAGTGACAGTGGTGTGAGCGCAGCTGAATTAACTTATGGTAAATCAATCAGATTACCGGGTGATTTCTTCGAAGATGCGAAATTTGGCGATACGGATTCAGAATATTTACAAAAGTTACGGGATAATATACGTAATTTGAATCCGAGACCACCGCGCCACCGTAATTCGCATTCGTTATTTGTTCCTAATAGATTAGATAATTGTAAATATGTGTTTGTTCGGAATGATTTGATGCGAAAATCTCTTCAACCGCCTTATGATGGCCCCAATAGCGTCATAAGCAGGAGAGGGAAAACTTGTGTCATAAAAATAGGAGAAAAAGAAAGTACTATTTCTATGGATAGGTTAAAACCTTAATAGTACGTTTTGCATTATAATCAATTCTATTCTAAGTAGAACGTATCATCGTTAGTTAGGATTAGTGGTTATGATTACGATTATTTTAGGTTAGATTTTTAACCTACATAATTAATAAAAGTAATAATTTGTCAGTTTAATTTACTTAATTGTGAATTGTTTCTTTTATTAGCTGTTATGATTTATGTAAATTCTAGGTAATTAAATATGGTAATTAGAAAAGTTCCGATATTATATTTTAAGCTTTATTGTATAACTCTAAAGAGTAAACTATATGTACTATAATTAGTTGTAATAATATTTAGCAAACACTTATATTTTAATATGCACCTATCATTATGCTACATAGTTGCGAGTTGCATAGTATGCATTTCGCAATGGATCAAAGTACATGATTATTGAGGTAACGTTTTAGTTATTGTAGCTTTAATTGTAATTTTAATTGTCATGTCATTGTTAATCATTTTTTATGTAACCTGTATTGGCGATTTTTCGTATCGATATTTGTGCAAATTGTTTCATGGTAGCTAGACATATATATCTAGAATTGTTCGGAAATGGGATGGAGTCAGAGCGTATGTAATCCGACCATGGTGAGGATGCAGGCGGTTCCCAATATCTTCAATGGGTTGAATATTTAATGAACATTTTATATCGGAATTTGATATAAAGCAATATTTTTTTCTTTAAAATTGAAAATGAGCAACTCTCTTCATTTCCATAATCAATATGATGCACCAAGCAAGTGAATGTTTCTTTACATTTTTTCCATTTCCATTTTTCCATTTTTAAGTCCAATGTGTCTTGTTAAGATATATCATGAAGATAAATAATTCCATCGTTGTACACGTACGTGTGTACACCTATTTAATTCTAAGTTTTGCAATGTAAATGTGGAACGTTTCACGATTTTGGGGTGCGAATGTTAACCTAGTGTAAGTTAAGTGTTTATCTTTATATAAGGAGGGGAATGGTGTAGGGACACAGTATA